AGTATTCTCAACTACAGAGCACTATGGATCCCAAAGTATTCTCAACTACAGAGCACTATGGATCCCAAGGTATTCTCAGCTACAGATCCCAAAGTATTCTCAACTATAGAGCACTACAGATCCCAAGTTATTAGCACATTTCTAGATTAACTCCAAGAGGGCAGTACACTAAACATCAGCTGAATAATCAAAGAGATGAAAAACAAACACCAAGCTAACTGAAAAGAATTAACATCTGGTTATGCAAAATACCATCTTTGAGTAAACAAATTATTGAAATAAACTACTTTATTTTACATTGAGTTTTATAAGCTGTGTTGCATGCATACACCACAAGCAGCCTGAACAACTATCAGTATGAAAAGGGTTAAAACGGTTACAAGCACAGAAACATAGATAAAGCCCTTTGTCAAATTATTATTGATAGTTCACATATTACCATCATATTTGTTGAATTTATACAACTTCAAAAAAGGGAACACATTAACTTTTTTTTTTTTGTCCAAGAGTTTTAAACTCCATTATCCTGTACTTTCACCATAGAATAAAGATATCAATGTTATGGTGTTTGGGTGTAGTTAATTTGTGAAGATTTAGCTTTTCAACACCAGATACAACTATTTCACCACAGCAGCCATACTGAAGTTACTGGAAACATTTAAATTAATCACCTTAGAAAAATGACAGTTAAGAAAATGTATGACATATACAAACATTCTCATATAAAACAAGAAAGTCTTCAACTGTTAGAAGTAACATTTCTATGACTTCAGTGCTGTAATCTTAAATTTTTTCACACCAATCCCAGCAAAGGATCTGATAGAACTTGTCATTTTTCACAAAACTCAAAGATAGGAAATCTTGAATGTTTTGACACTACTTCAGGATAGAACCTAATATATTATCATATTTCTCTAGCAAAACTTTCCGGATGTTACATATTTCACATTGCTACAGGATATGACTACCATGTTAGAACCCAGCATTCATCACACAACTCCATGAAAGAACTTGCTGGAATGTAAAATTTTCTACATTACTCCAGGATATGACTAACGTGTTTTAATCCAGCATTTTCCACATTACTCTACGATATGACTAACGTGTTTTAATCCAGCACTTTCCACATTACTCTACGATATGGCTAATGTGTTTTAATCCAGCACTTTACACATTACTCTACGATATGACTAACATGTTTTAAACCAACACTTTCTACATTACTCTACGATATGACTAACGTGTTTTAAACCAGCACTTTCCACATTACTCTACGATATGACTAACGTGTTTTAAACCAGCATTTTCCACATTACTCTACGATATGACTAACGTGTTTTAATCCAGCACTTTCCACATTACTCTACGATATGGCTAATGTGTTTTAATCCAGCATTTTCCACATTACTCTACGATATGACTAACGTGTTTTAATCCAGCACTTTCCACATTACTCTACGATATGACTAACATGTTTCAATCCAGCACTTTCCACATTACTCTACGATATGACTAACATGTTTCAATCCAGCACTTTCCACATTACTCTAAGATATGACTAACATGTTTCAATCCAGCACTTTCCACATTACTCTAAGATATGACTAACATGTTTTAAACCAGCACTTTCCACATTACGATATGACTAACATGTTTTAAACCAGCACTTTCCACATTACTCTACGATATGACTAACATGTTTTAATCTAGCACTTTCCATATTACTCCAGGATATAACTAGAACCATGTCTACATTCAAATTCTTAATGCACATACAACCTTTATCCGATAACACTAAACATGATGAAATCTCTATGTTACTTACACTTTCTGTCCAGTCTTCTTCACTCCAATCTTCTACTGCAGCAATATCAGACCAATTACCTGCAAGTTCAAGGAAAAGATCTGTTCAAAGAGTTACACACCTTTTTTTTATCCATTAGAAACCTTGTAAGATCATCTACAGAATTCGTATAGAAAACACTCAGGTTTTTTAAAAAACATCTTCATGTATGGCTATAAATAATGAAGTTTACCAAGCTTTAAACCTAAATTCTTCACCATTTCAAAAGGAAAATGTGTTAAGTCTTTCACACCCAGATGGGTGCAGTCACCATCAATATGTTGACTGTACCACTGAATTAATAAAAATGGTAGAAGATAAACTTGCAGTTATTTTTTCACAGATTAAAAAGTTAAATTCATTCAATAACTATTTTAATCATTTCACTGTACAATTAAAATACTTCTACAAATCAGATTATGATTGATTTCAGCACACACTCCTAATGAATTCAGAAGTTTGTACGTTTCCTGAATTCATAGAAAGTTATATCATTTTTTTAACCAATCACTATTTCTCAAGTTTGGTTGTCAAGGTACAATGCCATGAGAAGCCATAGGCTGCTGACCTAAACATGCCATGAAGCTGATACGTTTCCAGTATAGCAGAAATTTGTAAGAGATTGAAATAAGATGATAAAAGCTCATACTGGTGAAATATTGCTAAAGAACATGTAATTGTGAACAGCTTTAAAGCTCATATTGGTGAAATGTTGCTAGAAAACGTGTTTCTGAACAGCTTTAAAGCTCATATTGGTGTAATGTTGCTAGAAAACGTGTTTGTGAACAGCTTTAAAGCTAATATTGGTGTAATGTTGCTAGAAAACATGTTTGTGAACAGCTTTAAAGCTCATATTGGTGAAATGTTGCTAGAAAACATGTTTGTGAACAGCTTTAAAGCTAATATTGGCGTAATGTTGCTAGAAAACATGTTTGTGAACAGCTTTAAAGCTCATATTGGTGTAATGTTGCTAGAAAACGTGTTTGTGAACAGCTCTAAAGCTCCTATTGGTGTAATGTTACTAGATAAAGATAAAGGTTACAGTTTCATAAAATAAGAACTATATGAAAATCTCTAAAGAACAAATGAAATTAAATGTAATTAAACTCCACAAAAAAGTAAGCATTTTTCATTGTTTCTTAAAACACATCCAACATACCAACTGACATAGTAGCATCTCCTCCACCCCCTGTCTCTGCTTGTTCAGCTGTGATGTTGGTCCAAGTGTCAATCGATTGAGGAAAAGTATCAATAAGACCACCACCCATTTTTTGATTCTGAAATGTTCTACTCCGATTTCCTCCTCCTCTGCCCCTTCCACGTCCTGAGAAGTCATTAAAATTCACTACTTTGTAATCATAACTAATAATATTGTGGTAAACAATACTTTCAAATGATGTTCATTTACCCATTATAAAATTCTAACCTTACATGATACAACTTTGTGCTATACAAGTCTATACTCACTGACTCAGCGAAACATGATCACAGGTTATCATGCATTGGCCTACTCTGTTGAAACAGAACTCCACGTATTTTATGATAACTAGCACAAGTAGACAGTACTAATCTCACAACATGTTATTTATAGTCACCACTGTACTCCCTTTAAAAATTAATTACAGCTATATCAACCCCCCCTCCCCCATTAATCTCACAAGTAATGCAAGGTCAAAGTCCATCAAATAATATTACTGGTCCGAAATAAAAAGTTTTTTTTAAAGCAAACTAAAATGTCAAAAAAATCACTACACCAAAATTAACAAACCAGCTCAGAAACAATAAAATTTGATTTTTATCTTTATGTAGCATTAAAAATATAAAACCATAACAGATTATTTGAAGGTGTTCACGAAAAGCTTTTGAGAGGCGACAACTATGAGAGAAGTGTGGTTTAGAAATAATCCACATAAATAAGAAAGGAAGGGAAAATAAACAGGGAGAAAAAAATTCAGCTTTCAGATGATATATTTAATTTTTTTAGTTTTAGAACTGCTGTCTGGCAAGCATCCTCCATAAAATTATCTCTTCTTTCTGAACTGTCATACGGAGAAACTTCTAGCAGCATCTACCATAATTTGTTTTATTTTTGAACTCCCATCTAGACAGAAGTCAACTGTCTAACAGCATCTACCATAATTTGTTTTATTTCTGAACTCCCACTAGACAGAAGGAAACTGTCAGACAGTATCTACCATACTTTGTTTTAATTTTTGAACTCCCATCTAGACAGAAGTCAACTGTCTGACAGCATCTACCATAATTTGTTTTATTTTTGAACTCCCATCTAGACAGAAGTCAACTGTCTGACAGTATCTACCATAATTTGTTTTATTTTTGTAACCCCAATCTAGACAGAAGTCAACTGTCTGACAGTATCTACCATAATTTGTTTTATTTTTGAACCCCAATCTAGACAGAAGTCAACTGTCAGACAGTATCTACCATAATTTGTTTTATTTTTGAACCCCAATCTAGACAGAAGTCAACTGTCAGACAGTATCTACCATAATTTGTTTTATTTTTGAACCCCAATCTAGACAGAAGTCAACTGTCCATTATGGTAGATACTGTCAGACAGTTGACTTCTGTCTAGATTGGGGTTCAAAAATAAAACAAATTATGGTAGATACTGTCTGTTTTAATTTTTGAACCCCAATCAAGACAGAAGTCAACTGTCAGACAGCATCTACTCCTAACTTTTTTCTTATTGAGCTGCTGATGGAAAATAAATGACTGGCAGCAATCTTCTTTTTTGCTTTTACATACCATGGTTTGATAAACACTATACCAATTGATTAATCAAATGTAATCAACTGATGGGAGCATCAATTAGTAAATATCATTAATCTCTCAGTTTTAATGGAGGGTGGGCAAAAATATAAATTAGGGTTAGCAGTTTACATCTTTTTGTTAGTTTACCCATATTTTATTGGATGTAGGTAATATGAGTAGTAGATGAGAAAACTGTTTAAAATTTAATGTCATTCACACTCTTAACAAAATATGATATACAAGGCAGAAAAAAGTTAAACACGACAGATCTACAATCACATGTTTAATGAAAAAAATATATTTATACTGGGCAGGAATAATGCTGTTTCAATGATATAATTGTTTTTAAAAAACAGCAGCACATGTTAAGAACTCACTTCCAGTGCGCAGTCTACGGTTATGTTCTGACGTTCCATCTTCTAAATTACGCTCATTCTTTTCATTTTCTTTATTACGCCCTATAAGAAACATGTCACTATCATTATTACACCCTATAAAACATGTCAGTATCATTATTACACCCTATAAAAACATGTCTGTATCATTATTACACTCTATAAAACATATCATTTTCTTTATTACACCCTATAAGAAACATGTCAGTATCATTATTATACCTTATAAAACATGTCAGTATCATTATTACACTAAGATGTAATAATGATACTGATATGTTTCTTATAGGGTGTAATAAAGAAATGATATGTTTTATAGATAAAAACATATCAGTATCATTATTACACCTATAAAAACATGTCAGTATCATTATTACACCCTATAAAAACATGTCAGTATCATTATTACACCCTATAAAACATGTCAGTATCATTATTACACCCTATAAAACATGTCAGTATCATTATTACACCCTATAAAAACATGTCTGTATCATTTCTGTTTCTAAATGCTGCTTCCATGTAACAACTTCATAAGTATTCTTAAAAATGACAATACCAAATGTTAAAGAAATCTTCTACACCTTACATCTTCCAGAGTGATTTACAATTTATAATAGCACGAATAGTAGTTAGACACGGTTCAAAGGCCAATAAAACAATAAAATTTAATTATAAATAAATGTATAATGTTACGAACTTAGAGCTACTTAGGATAAATGATTGTAGTTTGTGTTTTTTTAATATTTACTTTTAAATCAAAAAATTGAGTAATGTATAGTTCTAAAATTTGAATTATAATTTACAGTTTGATAACAAACTTATTGACATAAATTAATGAAATAGTAGTTCCATAAAATTTTGAATGTGAGTCAACAAATGAGATGACATGGCCTTTCAGCTGTGACCCATCTTAAAAGGGTTAAGTAGGTCTTGATCGAGAAAGCTTTATTGTAGAAACTGAAAAGTATCCTGGATGATACAAAACCAGTATTTTTATGCTTTTATTTCTTTTTTTTAAATTAACAGTAATAAATAAATAAAAATATTTTTAAAGTCATTTTTATATATATAAAACCTAGTTACTGATAAATTTGAATATATTATAAAGACAATTTTTTGTGGTAACAATGTTTTATTGTCACTCACAATTTCTTCCTCCCCCCATCCTACTCAAGCGAGGTGGCCCTCTATTTCGAAATCCATCCCGCTCCTTGGGCTCTCTATCTCTACTTTTTTCTCCTTTGTTTCTGTTTTCTTTGTTGTTTGTTGGGCTAGTGTTGTTTGCTACAGGATGTTCCACAGGTTTATGGGCTGAAACTTGCCGGTTTTTCTTCTTTTTGCCAGTTGTTTCCCATTTTCCCTAAGCAAACATTATATTTTAAAGTTCTCCACACAAATAAGTGTCTTTTGAACAATCTCAAACTGTAAGTCAATTATTTAATGCTTAATACCTTTTACATAAATTTTCTTTATGCAAATAAATTCACACTTTGTGTAACAACAAATTTAAAACCATGACTGCTACAGAGAAAACTAATTCTTAAAAAATATCAGTCTAATGCCACAACTGTAAGGTAGTGTACGTGCAAGATGACACAACTCGAACTGTGCCTGATCTGCTATTGGGAGGATTTTTAAAACTAGAATTGAGGATGTGATCATAAAGCTTAACTCTTTTCATACAGGCACCTTTTTCTGCACATGTCACAAGATTTTACTGGATTACATTCAAAATTTAATTAAAGTACTTTATTAGGCAATACTTAGAAAAAAAAATCCTCAATTTCTCCTAGTAGGACAATTGTGACATTTGCTCTCTAGGTATTCCTTCTTTTCTGATTTATTTACCACCCACTGAAGTACAAAATTCAATGTAAATTACTCGTTAAAATATTCTCATCGCTCGGGCAAAGCTTAATTTTTACAGACATCAATCTTATTTGGTTACAGAGCCATAAACTAGAAAAACAGACCCCTCTTGCCACACCCACCTGTCACATTCTCTCTTTCAGAAATTGTTAATAGTTCTCTTCGACATTTAATACTATATTATTTATAACCAATAGAAAGCAAAAGTTTTAATTTACAGAACAAAGTATTATATTACTCTCTTTTCTGTACAGAGAATTGTCTATTTTGCTTCCAGTTAAAACTTTATTTGCACAGGAAACAGGTTTACGAGTTTGGCTGAATTTTTAACAGCTCTTGTTGCAAGCAGAAAGCTAGAAAAGTTGTGATAGTTATATAACATTGTCTACTTTTTGCATGTTATTATTCTGTATTCTTTGGTGCATTATTTAATTAAATAAAAATTATTTAGTGCAGTAGCCCTATTAGTATAAAAAGTATGGTTAAGTTTAAAAAAATATAAAGACCTAGGTAGTTACTACATTTCTTGTTTTTATGTGTTTCCTTTATATATTCTTATAAAAGTAACTAAAATGTAAAAATTAGAAACTTTTGGGTTAGATTAGGTAAAATAAATAGTAATAAAAATTTTCATGAGGTATGCTCACAAGCAACTAGAGAGTAGCCCTTGCATTACATAATTCAATAGGGGTAACATGAGCTACACACTCACCCAGTGATTTACAACTTATGTCGCAGTAATATTAGTTAGATACAGTTCAAATGGCAATAAAATAATAAAATTTAAGTAGAGACAGTTACTAGTTTAAAGCTATTTGGGATAAACAAATGTTGTTTCATATTACAATTTAAAGTCATTCTAGATGGAAATAAAAAGGGTAATTTCGATTTATTTCTTTTTCTTTTATGATGGTTACGAGGTCAGTCAAACTGACCAACCTCTGACAGATTTAGGGTAGACAAAATAACAGATAAAATATAAAGTTTTAGAGATCATACAAATCAAATTTGACAATTTGCAATCAAGAGAGTCAACACTTTGACTCCATATGTTCACAGACATTTTTAGTGGAAATACATCATTAAAAATTATTATTCTTTTTGTCTACAAAAGACTTACTGCTTACTGAAAGCATGTGAAATTTCATGATTATACACAAAATATACTAGAAGTTATACTATGGAAACTATAAAGGTGAATTGGGGTCACAAACTTGGCCGAGCCTGCTGGGAGAGGATTAATGAAATTTTGGAATGGAGTATTTCAAGAAGTCATTTATTCAAAATGTAAAAATGATACTGTAATTACTGCTCTTATGTAGAATTTTGTAAATTTTTAAATTAAAGAATAAAAGGCAAAATTATTTAGGGTAAAAAAAATCCATATTCACTCTTGTTACAAGGATATCAGAGTATTCCTTTGGAGATCTTAATATCCTCCATGAAACTGATTTCAAAGTATGTGAAGTTTTTGAAAACAAACCTACAATAAGCATTTCAATATTATATAACTTTTGATAATCAACCAGTCTTCATTCTTAGTAAGAACACCTGGGACTCCTATCAGTTTCTAGTTATATTAATCTTCAACAACACCTACAAATCACCAAAAGACTTCTTTATATATGTAGACAAAAACACCACATTTAAAATTTTATGAATCTTCAAATTGTGAGTTTAAAGGATTTTTTATATTATGATCTCCTCAACCATAAACTTCATTATATAGTATTTTTTATACAATTTTTGACCACGGACACAACTACCCATCTTACTGGTTGGATACAGTCCACACGTTCCCTTTAACCTTCACGGGCTTCTCCTATTTTAGTTAACAGCAAGACCTCAAGGAAACCGTAGAGCAAAGTGAAGAACACAGGAAGAAATGTAAAGATGCTGTGCTTAACTAGGTAGATAACTGAATATACGCTAAACTAGAAAACCTGATTAGTACAACTGTAACTGTTGAGATGACCCCCCAGAAGGATATCTAAGGATAATGTGTCCAGTTAGTAACTAGAAAACCTCATTAGCACAACTGTAACTGTTGAGATGCCCCCCAGAAGGATATCTAAGGATAATGTGTCCAGTTAGTTTAATTGTTATGGATATTTTCTCAACTTTTATAATCTCTGATATTCTAACTCATGATAAACTTGTTGCTTACTTGAGACTAAGCTGAGATATTGTCTGATAATCTACTAATTAGTCAAAATAACTGTATATACGCTAAACCAGAAAACCTCATTAGCACAACTGTAACTGTTGAGATGACCCCCCAGAAGGATATCTAAGGATAATGTGTCCAGTTAGTTTAATTGTTATGGATATTTTCTCAACTTTTATAATCTCTGATATTCTAACTCGTGATAAACTTGTTGCTTACTTGAGACAATATGTCTTCCCTGACATATTTCAAGCAACTTTGTGTCAAAGTAAAATAACAGAACCACTTGTATACACTGTTTAACCCTCAGTCCCTCTGGGTCTTATAACACCACCACCACGATATGCACATTGTCTAAGTCTCGGGTCACTTTGGTCAAAGTTATAATAACAACACCACCATATGCACATTGTTCAAGTCTCGGGTCAATTTGGTCAAAGTTATACTGGTGATAAAACATAGCATATACTGCCCTTGTCTGTTCGCATCTTAGGTCAGTAAAGTCCTCAAAAACCTTAAATTATTAAATAAAACAAGAAATTTAAGACGTACATAATTACATATGAATATCAACATTTGAGTACTCTGGATAGTTTTTAAAATACTGTAAAACTGAAACATGTTAAATTTTATAATAAAGTTTTACCTCACTCTGGACACCTTCTAAAAGCAAAGTAATGGCTTTGTCAGGATCATTATCACTGTCATGCAGAGCAATAATGGCATCATCCTTCGATCTATTTGTTATCTCCATTACCTGTTAAAGACAGTTATCTTTATAAAACAACAATACAACTGTATTCTTACAACATGTGTATGGTTTTCATATAAAATATTGTATTCAAATTTAGTAATAATGAGCATTAACAGTGCTGTACAAGAACTCAAACATTTCAATCATATCACACTGTCATATATTATATATCAATAATTCAGAAAACGACTACTTTCTTTATCCAAAAATATATTTTAAATACATTATGTTGGTTACATAGTAAACAAAAATGTTTTCTCAATGTGTTTTAAACTTATTCTAATTGCTCAGTCACACTAACATGCATGAATGGTTTGTCATCACACTCGATCATTTTCTTGGACATCAGAAATCTCTTAGCCGAATAACACATTCTTTCTTGAACCAGTTTTTTAATTTTTTAAACCATAAAATGTGATTGTTTTGGTTTAACTGTTTCACACTTTTAATGACTGAGCACTTTATAACTCATTCAGAAACAACTTAGACAAAAATTCTATAACACATTGCAAATCAAGAAAGGCTATAACCTTTACTGATTCCTCACATTTTAAAACATCCATGTGATAAAGTTGATCAATATTCTCTCCAGATGACAAGAATTCCCCCAAAGTCAACTTTGTGTCAACAGTTTCATGTCTAATGTATTATTGAAGTCTTTAATAAAAAGTGACAAAACAATTCATATCACAGACAGACTTACAGAAGTTTGTCAGGTCTCCCATGAATTGTGTATGATGTCACTGCTAAGCTACTAGTGACTATTTACAGTTTACGCAGCTGCAGTAAAGTTTGTTCACAAAACATTGTTGCATTACATTTCAATAGGTCTTCTTTTTGCACCAGATAAAGTGGAGAATATACATAAATAGACAACTATTGACGTAGTTAGAGAGGAGAAAGTTTATGTATTTTGTGTCTTTATGTCAACTTAAAGTCTGGGAAAGGCTCTGGTGACTTGTATGATGAAATGTTAATGTATCATTTTTCAGTAAGTTATTTGAACTTGGTTCTCATACTGTATAATAAATATTTCACACCAGTATAAATAAAGATTAAACGGTAAAGACAGTATGATACTGTAATGGTTAGGAAGCATCAAGTCAACAATGTTTTGTGAACAAACTATCTGACAGTATGATACTGTAATGGTTAGGAAGCATCAAGTCAACAAAGTTTTGTGAACAAACTATGACAGTATGATACTGTAATGGTTAGGAAGCATCAAGTCAACAATGTTTTGTGAACAAACTATCAGACAGTATGATACTGTAATGGTTAGGAAGCATCAAGTCAACAATGTTTTGTGAACAAACTATCAGACAGTATGATACTGTAATGGTTAGGAAGCATCAAGGCAACAAAATTTTGTGAACAAACTATCAGATAGTATGATACTGTAATGGTTAGGAAGCATCAGGTCAACAATGTTTTGTGAACTGACAGTATGATACTGTAATGGTTAGGAAGCATCAGGTCAACAATGTTTTGTGAACAAACTGACAGTATGATACTGT